TCATCTTCATGAAAGCATTAAAAGAGAAGGAGAAAGGATAGAGGAGAGCAAGAGCTAAATACAACCCATTTACCATGCTTGCCACTCTCAGGATCAGTATCATTAAGATACTTGCAAGGGGATTTACATTTTGCTTTTTCTTTCAGTATTTCATTAGGGTTTAGTGGGGGTGAAGCATAAAAAAAAAAAAGAGCAAGGCAGAAAGAACTGTGCAAATGACTGTGCTAGTACAAGATGCTTCACTAACACAACAGTGGCACAACGTGATTTTTGGTTTGTTCACACCTGAAGTCTAGAGGGGCTGAAGACTAACTCTAGCCTGAGCATAGAGGACTCCATGGCCTTTCATTGCACTGCTGAGATAAGCAGTCTTTTCAGGGGTCTGCATATCCCTGAAAAACCATGAACTACTACTGTAGCTTAATAAGCACAAAATATTGTCTATAAAAACAAGCCTGCTGTAGCATTATGTTTGTTTTAGAGAACTATGAATCTCCACAAGCCCATTTTAGGCAATCACAGACTCAGAAATGTTGAAAATGATTGTGCTGAAGGTATAAGAGGATTTAAGTCTAAGGCATAAAATTAACTTGTGTTAATTAATACCCACCTAAATCCTCAAGTATCCCACATGAACTAAAATAACTCACAAGTCATCATTTTCAAACTTGTATCTTAAAGGCAGTCATACAACTCAAGAGCTTAGCTTGAGGTGAGAACTGAGAACACATAAATGCCCAATGTCAGCTAACTCCCCACTCAAGACATGCCAATTCTTGCCATTGCTACAGATCTGAATATACTGAACACCCTTTTAAAAGCATCACCTCGACATGTGATTATATGAGATTCCCAGCTTCCATTAAAAACCGAAGTCCAGATTTTGAAAGGTGCAGACATGTGGAAGTCAGATTTTCATGAATGCCAGGTATTTAATTTCCTGTGAGTCAATAAGCAATACGTGTTTTTTTGAATCTTATTCTACAGTCAAGTGTACTGTAACTAGAAATTCCCTGTGATTTAAGGTTGCTAACGTGTTCGAGAATAGGCTTGAGAATAGAAGACTACAGGCTAAGACAGACAAGCAACATGGCTAAAATATAAGCAAGATGGCTAAAATGCAGTATTTAATTTGTGTTCAGGAGCTCAAAGCAGATTGTAGGCACTTAAGCTCTCATTTCAGTTGCCCAGAATTAGTGCTTCTGTATACCTAATTTGAAACTTGACGCCCAGATCAGAAGTCTGGGTCTCTGGCCGAGAATGTTAAGTGCCAGTCTGAAAGATCTGTAATTCCCTACATATGCATTCTCCAAAAATCAGGCTTCTTAGAGACAGCATATTGGGACATCTGGCTTTTAAGGCACCAGAAATTACTGGTTTCCTGAAAATACATTTTCTATGCTTGTCTCCATTGAGACACACCATATATTAATCTTAAAGTTTGAGACACACCATCTATTAATCTTAAAGTTATTGCATGTTTTATGAGTTTAGCTAGGTCTTTGTATTTTAGGTTACCATAGCCACAATTGGTATTATACACTGTCATCTTCAGTATTTCATTGTAAGATGTTGGCTAGCCACCTTTCCAAAGAGAAAGCACGCATCAGAAGATTTTAAATCACCTTTAAGGACAACTGTCAAGAATAAGAATGAAAGCAGCCTGCTTGTTTCTCAACAGCTGGAGCAAGTTTCGCTATCAATTCCGCTGAAGTCATGACCATGAATAGTACTGGGATATTTTGGTTTCTTTATTATAGACAGAAAGAATATATACTGCAACCATGAATGACAGACTTTTTTTTCATCCAAAACCAATAAAGAATTAGGAACTCCAAGCATTCCCATTTTACTGAACATGGTATGTCTTTTATTTTTTTAAACTTAAGGAAATTTTACTGAGGGGAAAAAAAAATTAATCTTTGCATTATTTGAAATAACTGACATACAAATGTTAAAGAAATAATAAAATCAGAGGAGGAAAAAACAACTAATATTACTTTGTAGAAGCATGCAGATGAGTAAGAACACCACAAAACATACACCTGCCATTTTCTGTGCTCAGTTCACCATATAGGAACATTTCAGAAAGTCTTATTCACAGCCTTTAATTCTGGACTTTAATTGCATCATGTTATACCCTAGCCAGCCTATATACCCTGTTGAATGATTTGATATTGCTGATTTGTCTTTGTAAACCAAAGACAAGCTAAACTGAATGCTGCTAACAAGCACTGGCAATAGAGCTTTTATTTGATTTCCTTAGAAAGGCTGTGTGTACATCATTTGCATACATGATGATGAAGGTACTTACACTGCTGTGTAGTCCATGGCTAAATAACTCAGAATCAGAGACTCACAGAATACTTCAGTTTGGAAAGGACCTCTGGATATCGCCTGGTCAAACCCTTCTGCTCAAAGCAGGGTCAACTAGATCAGGTTTGCCCAGGGGTGTGTCCAGTCAAATTTTGATTATCTCCAAGGATGTAGACTCTAGTATCTCTCTGGGAAACCTAATCCAGCATTTGACCACCTTCACAGTGAAAAAGCTTTTATGTTTAGATGGAATTTCTTGTATTTCAGTTTGTGCCCACTGCTTCTTGTCCTGTCACTGGGCACGGGTGAGAAGAGTCTGATTCTCACTTCTTTATTTCCCACCTCAAACACCCCCCAGCATCCCCATGAGGTATTTATACACATTGAAGAGATCCTCCCCAAGCCTTCTCTTCTGTAGGCTAGATAATTCTAGCGCTGTCAGCCTCTCCTCATATGACAGATGTCCCAATCTTTTAATCATTTCTGTGGCCGCTCACTAGACTTACTTCAGCATGTCCATGTGTCTCTTGTACTGGGGAGCCCAGAACAGGACGCAGCACTCCAGAAGTGGCCTCAGCAGTATTGAATAGAGGTGAATAATCACCTCCCTTTGTCTGTTGGATGCTGGTGGCCGCCTTTTCTTTTTCTTTTCTTTTTCTTTTCTTTTTCTTTTCTTTTTCTTTTCTTTTCCTTTTCTTTTCCTTTTCTTTTCCTTTTCTTTTCCTTTTCTTTTGTGCATGTGCACATTGCTGGCTTATGTTCAACTTGGTATCCACCAGGACCCCTATGTCATTTTCTGCCAAGCTGTTTCCCAGCCAGATAGCCTCCAGCTGGTATGGGCACATGGGGTAAGTGCAGGACTTTGCATTTCCCTTTGTTGAGCTTCATGAGGTTCTGTCAGCCCATTTTTCCAGCCTGTCAAGATCTTCTGAATGACAACAGAACCATCTCATGTATCAACTGCTCCTCCAAATTTAGGGTACACCCTGTCTCATTGTCTCTGTCAATAGTGAAAATGTTAAACAGTACTGGTCCCAGTATTGACCGCTGGGGTACACCACTACTGACTGGCCTACAGCTAGGTTTCGAGCCTCTGATTGCAACCCTTTTGGCCTAGCAATTCAGGCAATTTTCAGTCCACCTCACTGTCTTACTTGCTCAATTTGTCTGTGAGGATGTTATGTAAGACAGTGTTGAAAGCCTTGTTAAAATCGAAATAAACAATATTCAGTGCTCTGAATGCCTCAGATTACCATGATCTTTCAAAGATGAACACGAATGGCCTCACAATGACATGGGCCAGCTCCCTCAGCTCTTGTGAGTACATCCCCATTGGGTGCCATGCACCTGTGTATGTCCCATTTGCTGAAATATTTGCTAACCTGATCCTCCTCCACCAAGGGTCTCTTCTCTGCTCCAGACTTTCCCATAGGTCTCAGGGGCCTGGGATTCTTGAGGGCAAATCTTACCCGTAAACTGAGGTGAAAACAATGTTGTGCAACTTAGCCTTTTCCATGTCCTGTATCACCAGGCTACTGCTGTAGTGAGCTCCGCTTTCCCTCATCTGTCTTTTGCTGCTGATGTATCTGTAGAAGCCTTTCTTATTTCCCTTTGTGTCCCTCACCAGGTTCAACTCCAGGTAGGCACTGGCTTTCCTGACACCATTCCTGCACACTTGGACAGTGTCCTATTGTCCACCTGGGCCACTTGATCCTGCTTCCACTTCCTGGTGTATTAGTTCTTCATAGCATTTGAACAAAACACCTTTCAAATGATGAAGAATAGATTTCCTTTAGAGACTTGTCCACACCCCCTGTCAAAGCTGAGCTGCTGTGCAGACAAGACCCCAAGAGGTGAGTCCAGACACAAAGCAAGCAAGAATGAGCCTAAGTGGATGTAAGGGATAAGAGTGCTTGACTGGCAAGGGGCAGTGCTGGGCTTCCACAGCACAAAAATTCAAGCACACCACATGATCTGAAGAGAAATTCAGAGGTAGAAAGGGAAGAGGGCAGGTGGTAAGTCCTGTGGAGTGAAAATGAAATCAGACATCTCATTGTAAGGGTGAAATGGCACAAATGGAAGATCTCATACATTATCAGAACTGACACTGGATTTCAGTTTCACTACAATGTGTTACTACTCACAGAGGCCTATTAGCTGACAGAGGAACAGTGTTGGAAAGCTTTAAAGCAGCACAAAATGTTCCAATAGAGAGGCAAAAGAAAAGCCTATGACATCAGAATGAACTGCATGATACTAAAAACAGGGGAGCAGGGACTGAAAAAAACATTTAAACCAACTGGTTAGCAAGGGGGAAAAAAGGAGAAAAAGCTATGTTTTTAAATAAAAAACATAAAAGCTGATTCTCAGTCAGCATAAACTGACATAATTCCATTAATATCAGTCACAGGTTTATTACACAAGCTAAGTTCACTGCTTTGAATTGATGCTGTAGGCTCACAGGAAGGAACACACACCTTAATTGAAGTTTTACTTGCGCAAGGGTTGCAGGCTCAGACCCAGTGTAAAGAATCATAAATCGTTTAGGTTGGAAAAGACCTTTAAGATCATCCAGTCCAACCATTAACCTAACACTACCAAGAAACGACCTCAGATTTTTTTAAGCAACTATGTTTAATTTTCTAACCAAAAGTTTCTCTTTCTGCTTTACAATGACCACTTACCTTCTTTAACTCTTCCTGAATAGTTCTGCCATTTTCCTCTGAGGACAAACTCTCCTTTTGGTTTTCAGGGTCTGTTCTAGGTTCTGACTCTTGTTCTTCACCAGAAGATGTTTCCTTGTCACTCATTTTAGCAGCGAGCTGAAATAACCTGGATTTAAGCTCCTCTTCCATAAGGTCAGGCTTGATGTTATGATCCTCACTGCTTATATCTGTTTCTGACAAATCATCAAAATCCTACAAAGAAATTAGAAGAACAGTATAATTACTGTATAGGTACAGAAAGGAAAACAAATAGCTTCCTAGAAAAGTATAGGTATGATCACTCTGCAGGGAAGCTAGAAAGAAAGCACAATAAGTGGGCTGATAAAAAAAATACCATGTCTTTACAGAGGGACGCCAGTAAACCCACACCTGTTGGATATTCCTGCTTACTTTTATATTATGTAAAAAGAAACTATCAAAATCATTATGTATCTGTGCGCACCTAATGAAATAAAAGCCTAAATGGCATTTCCCATTCCCAGCACTGCACTGCCATCACTCTCGGGCATGATGCAGGTAAAGAAAGTGAAGTGTGGGAATGAAATAACTTGTGACCTGGCAGTTGTGTCCAGGTTTCGGTTGAAAGCTGCGCTTGAGTTCCCTGACTGCTGGTCTTGAGCATTATCTGTGTTTTTTTTAAAGACTACTGGAAACGAGTTTTGAAAAATCTCTCTTTTATTACAAGATGGTGCTTAAGATTTTCAGCTTTCCTAGTGACTATTTACATAGGTGAGTCCTCTACAGTGACAATTATTTTCCAAGCACCAACCTCCATGGAACAAGTTCAATCTTTAGGAAAACGTTCTTTTCTTACTCTTGGATCCTTAAAGGTGGGAAGTACTCAGAGGCTCAGTTAAGTACGGTGGGTGTTACAGACTCAACTGTGACAAGTGCCTTACTTTGGAGGCTGAACAGAAGAAAAGCAAAATCCTTTTGCAGGTCTGTTTAGCTGGGTGCCTGCACAAATTTAATAATGTGGAAAGGGGGCTTTTTTTTTTTGTCAGCCCTTGCAGGAGATTTCCTGAAAACATCTGATGGTTATGCCAAAAACTAATGTCCAGATACATACCAACTTATTTTCTGGATCTGTGCTGTCTGATAAAGACCCAATTTCCCCTGATTTCCACTACAGTCCATCTCTCAGAGCAACCCACTCCACCTATAGTGTTAATGTCCTTCTAGAAATGCTCTTCTCTCCCTGCTGACTGCTAAGAGAGAGCTTGGAATAATTAGACACTTTGTTTAGTGCTTCAGTCAAGTGCATAAAGTAAGGTGGAATTAGGTGGTTTTAAAAGCGATGAAGTCTTTGAAATGGAGCATAATCGTGACAAAATCACCTGGAAGGAAGCTATAAAGAATGCAGCCTGGGACCCAGAAGCAGTAGGCACATTGCAGCGGGGTCTAAGAGGATGATCTGGAGCAATTCTTAGATGGGAAATCATTGCTATTTGCCTTACTTTCTCCTACCAGACACTGCTGGAGAGACTAAAAGCTGTGTTCTCTCCACCATTCATTTGGAAATACATAAACAGGAAATTTGCTTTGCACAGCTACTCTCTCTGGAGCCGCAGAAGCAGTATTTATGGATAGATCAATTACCTCCAGTTCTCACGGGAAACGTTAACTCTGACAACTCTTTCACAAACCCTACCTGCCAAACTCCTCTTAATGGATTGACACATCATGTTTATAATGTCATTCCTCATCTCTCATACCGTAAACTGTACTGTAGCATCTAGCACTTTTACAGCTTTCTGGACAATTTTTGTTTGCAGTTACCTGTGAGTCAATTACACAACTAAATTATTGCTTTCTAGCTCATCTTCAGGATGCAGAAGGTCCTTTTAGAAAATCAGGATTTGAAAATACATGACTAGCTACAATAGAAGGGGAACCACGGGCTTATGCTGAAATTTGTTCTTTTCCCAAACAATCAGCTTTTGCAGAATCAAAAGCCTTTTCTGCCAAATGAATTTCCAAGCTGTTCTGAATAAGACTGAGAACAAGATATCAAATCAGTGTGTTTCCACTTTAGTTTTATAATATGTTATGATATGCTTTCATATACATTTAGAAGACTGGTGTCATTTCACCTTTTTAATTAAAAATCTGTATTTATCATAATGGTGCTTCCTCAAACTGTAACCAGAGATTTTTTTTCAGACATATCCTGCATGCCATTCAACAACTCATTACTACCCTTGCCCAACAATATGCTAATGAAAAATACTCACATATCGCTAAACTACTATAAAAAAATCTGAAAGTTGTTGCTGAGTCAATCAGTTCATCAATTTGTACCCAGGAGAGAAACAATCATAGTTTATGGGATTTACAGGATAGAAAGCATGGCTAAGCTGCGCACTCATATTTTAGGAGAATACAGTTTAGTGGAGATACATCTCATTAACCTTGAGCTATTTACAGTTAGGTATCGAAGCTAATTACTAGAATCCCTCTTTACTTGAGTTACCTCCATTTATTTAATAGAACCCTCCAAAAACCTATTCTCGTCTACAAAAACATGTGGTTTAGGATTACAAGGCTTGCTAGTGAGCTCTGCCAGCTCTGCACCAGGGGTGTGGGCTTCCTCTAGCAGTGTCTAGGCAGGAAGAGTACAGTTTACCCTGGGGTCGAGCCTGCAAGGAAGAGAAGAAAATCCTATTCTATGCAGACATTTGAGCAGATCAAGCCTGTAGAGACAAAAGCTTGCTATTCTTGTTTAAATAAGCTGACAAATATGTGTGTAAAATCTAGTGGAGCAGTGAGGGAGGCTGGCAGTCCAGACGGGCAAGTGTTCCCATGTTTCCACCTCATTGCTGTACCATGAAGTACTGACAGTCTTCATTGTGCAGCAAGACATGCGTGAACCCTCTGGGAGCTTCTTACATAGAACTGCTTAGCTCTAACTGCTTAGCAGCTATATTGGAGTAGCAATACACACACCCTTGTGGAAAGCAGCACCAGTTAACTTAAAGAATCCATGGTGACAACAGCAGAATCACAACTCCTCTTGATCCTGAAAAAATACCAGTCTTCCTAGGATCACACAAGGCAGCACCTTTTAGGTTGATCTCTACTGCCTCTATCCAAAGCTCAGCGAAATCCCATAGAGCCCTCCAGCTGACTTCCCATGTATTTCAGAGGAAGGCCTGGCAGGACAATGTTGCTAAGTTGCCCAGCTTCAGCAGGAGAAAAAATTGAGGATGTAGTTTTATGAAGCAAGGTGAGCTAACATAAAACCCTAGTGCCACTGAAAAAGAGTCATCCTGCACCTTCCTGTCCTTTACTCAGTTGTAATGAGTTGTGTAGGCTCGGCAAAGAGGTCCAAATGTGTGCCAGAGATGACACGGGAGAGATATTGGACCATGCTGGAGGAAGGTGGAGGGAAGGCAGGAAGGCAGACAGGACGGAGGAATTCCTGTTTTGGCAGCAGCAAGCTGCTATGTTCCCTTAGCCACACATTACTGAAATGTTCCCAATTCTAGCTTATGCTTTAACACATATAAAAGAATTTTCCTAACTCATTAGCTGGGAAATGTAAAGAGCTTTTTGCTACATTTGCCAGCACAGGTGAAATCCAGGAGCTGCCTTGGCATCCCTAGGGTTATATTCCACGTTAGCTAAATTTGTGTTACAAATACACATCCCTTCTTGGGGGAGGACTCGCCTTGAGGGTACTGATATTATTACAGCTGCATTCAGGTATGTCTATTATCCTCCTTTTTGCTTTCCAACCTGCTTACAATGAGCAGGTGGAGTATTTACATTTGCAAGAGCTCTTAGTTCCTTTTTACACGCAGAGATAATGATATCCTATAACGCTACACTTTGTGGTGTTTGTTACTGGTAGGCTGCTTGGCTTGTGTGTTGAGCTTTTCAGATGGTGGCAGTGAACTATTTGCGAGGAGATAATATCTCTTTCATGGATTAACAGATTAAAAAAATGCATTAGAAGCCATGACAACAATAAAAAATAATAAATAGATTGAAAGGTACTATTATTGTTATTTATTTAATAGATGCTATCTTAAACTTCATTATTCTTTACTGTTCACACTTTGGCTCTATCTGGTAAGCTTAATGACATATTTGTGTTCATATAAATCATTGTGTAAATTCCCATTTGCATCTTTCAGCAGCATATAATACTAACATCTGCAAACAAGAATTGAAGGGCCACCGCTTTACCTGAAAACAGCTTCAGTGAGGGGCTGGCAGACTAACACAGCCACAAACCCAGTCTCACTAAAAGAAAATCAAGCGTTTCTAATGCAAGCGTTAAGTCCTTCAGCAGACAATGAACTAGGAAATACACCCTTCCTCATACACACTGTCCAAATCTTTGCGTGCAAATGGCTTATAATTCAATGTAATCCTAGCGAACAACAAAAAGCCCCAAAATAAAGCAAGCAAGCAAAGTACAGGCTTGGAGGCTCCAGAACCAAATCCATGTTAGGGTATAAACTCTTGAAAGAAAGCTCCATTCATATAGGAAATAAAAAATCAGAAACCACAGTTTTTAGGAGAAGACACAAATGGTGAGGTTTGCAGACAGTTTCTCAGCGAGAGCCCATGTAATTTCAGGGCAGCTATTTTCAATAAATACATCCCAAGTGCCATGCTGTGGGGACTGGCACTCTGACAGCACTCACCCCATACCTGGCTGCAGGGCAGGAGGGCACAGGTGAGGTCTCCTGATCAAAGAAGCAAATGAGGACACTTTCTTCACTTGAAGCAAGTAAGCAACTCCACTTCCCATCAGAAATATAAGAATTGCAGCTACACTAAGCAACATCTCCTCCTCTCAAAATGATAATGAAAGCCAATGTATCCATATTATTAATAATAACAACAGAAATTATTAATAATATTATTAATAATAATGAAAGCAG